CGGGTCCGGGCTGGGGATTCGAACCCGCCAACTTAGGTGTATGTGGCTGACGCCTTAGCCGGTTGAGCTATAGGTGCCGAGCCAAATGATTTGTTTAAATTGCTAAATTAAACTTAATGGCCATTATGAATAAATTTCATTACTTTTTAGAAAAAGGTGTATGTGTTTGAGATGAAGAAGGCAGATAAGGGATTTTTAATATTTTAGAACCTCCATAGTTGACCACCTCCTTAAGTTGAGCTAACTTTCACAGACCGGCCATGCACCACAAGTGTCTGTCAGTCCAGTAGGCCTAGTTCCTTATGTTGACACCTTTGTATGTCGACCAGTTTGTTACGGTTCCTAGGGTGATCAACTTACAGAAGTCCTGTATTTTTAAGCACTAAAAACAAATATTGCAGACATTTAGAAAATACAGCAGCAACCACTACAACTAGCCCTGACCATTTGAGAATAAAAATGTATTATCAGCCAGGCAGTAGCTCATGTCACTTACTTCTAAAGTTTTTCAAAATGAAAAAGCCCTTTTAGATAATAAACAATGTTGATTGTTATTGTTAAATTAGGAAAGTAAAAATTAATGTATTAGTTTTTAAAAATCAGATCATTTGTATTTTATTTAATTGTCATGAAGACTTAACTGTAATTTTTCTTTAAATACACGAATTGCTGAGTAGCAAAAACAGCATAGAAATCTAAAATGCATTCTGTGACTATACTAAGGAAATGAGATTTAGTGTGGAAGAAACTTAGCAATTTTTATTTTTATTTATTTTTTATTGACAATTATTAACAATTTTTAGACAGGAAATACTTAATTGCCACTAATAATATATAAGTGTGTTAACATAAAATTAAATAATACACATTGAAGTAGAAAAATATATACACATATGTATGCACATAGTCAACATTCGTGCATGTGTGTATAGCATATTATTTTGATTTTAACCCTACCTGGTGACTTTAGCTTTATTAAAACATTTATAACTTGAAAAGTTTTTTTAAGTAGATACTTTGAGTGTTCTTATAGTTGTTGGTTGTATATAATAAAATGTTGAATTTGTCATGTGCATCATTCAAACAAAGAATCTAAAGTTAGGGGCTCAGAGACTTCTTTCTACCAAACAAAACAAAAAAGCCACTAATGGACCTCACTGAGCCTTAGTTCTTAGTTATTCTCACCTCGTAGTCTGATGTCCTTTGAGGAGACTGCTTTATACTGACAAATGCCATGTCAAACTTGTACATTTGACAATATGGTATATTAATGTTTTTCTGCTCATTCAAGTTGTCAGCAAATCTCAAAGATCGAGGTTTCACTTCGATCAGGCAATAATGACAGTACAAGAAGAGAGGGTCAACAGAAGTATTGTTTCCTTTAGACTTACGCATCATAATTCTGTTATCTCAATTGGCTAAGTGTTTGGCTAATTGTTTTCTTTCTCAGCTAACCAGAATGTTCACCTTTCTAGGTTTACCGACAAGACTGTGAAACTTTCGGGATGGTGGTGAAAATGCTGATTGAAAAAGATCCTTCATTAGAAAAGTCTATACAGTTTGCACTGAGGCAGAATTTACACGAGATAGGTGAGCGATGTGTTGAAGAACTCAAGCATTTCATTGCAGAATACGATACTTCAACTCAAGAGTTTGGAGAGCCTTTTTAGATTTCTTGCTCAGGCAAAAAGTTTCTAGATTCCCTCATCCCCCCGGATTGCATAAATCCTTAATATATGGAATTTTTGTGATGAAGAGAAATACTTTATGATAGCTGACCATACTTCCAGTATCAAATAAACATCTAAAAGAGTCTATTTAAAATATTTTAATTAGAACTTTTTTTTACATGTAAAAGCCTCCTAATCCATAGTCACCTTTTTTTTGCCCCTAAAATGATGGTCAATTAATTTTTCAAGCTTTGAGAAAGCAGTCCTAAAGAATAGCTTTCTGTGCCTGCTCATGTTCTGTAGTCTTCCAAGTATATAATCATTTGGTCACAGGAGTGTAATTTACAGGCTAGAGATCATTCCACTTAAACATTAGGAGTCTGTTTGCATTTCATAGTGAATGATACCATGTGAAAATGTTAGAATTCTGAGTTGTGATTTTATTGAGTTATTGCTTGCTTTTCTTAGGCTTTGTAACTTTTATATGTTAAAGTACTATCGTAATAAACTGAATACTTTAGTATCATACAGAATATTTGTTTGAGAATAAGTCTCATTCAGTAATAATATAGAGCACTTAAATCTCTGAAAGACACCTCAGAATAAAAACCCTTTTATTACAAGTACATGAATTCAGCATTTTCTATTAATCCTGAAACTCCTGAGTTTTTCACTGATGTGGGAGACTTAAACAATATCATTTAATAAAACTAAAAGAAGGGGCAATTTGGATGGAGATTAGGGATATCTTAAAGTTGAGAATTCTCAAAAATCTCTGACCAAAAGAGGAAAAATTTTAAGACTTTTCTTTTTTTGTAGGCCTAACAGTGAGAGGAGTTGTGTTTTATCCATAAGCCCATACTCCCCACCACAAGAAAGGTGATCGATAACATGCCCCTGATCACACTATGTATAGGTTATTTCGTTTTTAACCTCTAGTTTAGTGAGTTCTTTGTTCTGCCCTGTAGAGGTCCTTAGCCCTTCCGAAGTGTTCTTGAAAGAAACAAAGCAGTAGGTAGCACGCCCAACTCAGCGACCCCTTCCCAAGCAGGCTGTGGAAACAGTCCTTCACGAGTGACCCATCCAGATCACGGGTTAGTTGAGAATCTAAGTGGGGCGGTTAGGATGTTCCTCTTGTTTCCTGATCACTTCAGCAGCCCAGTGGCATTGAGCCAAAGCACACAGTTTCATGGTGTTACTTAGTGAGGAAACCTTTAAAAATCATGTTTGTTATTGCTGCCCAGTTTCATTATCCTCCCATCCTCTTCTCATGTTCTACTCTCTTCTCCCTCAAATTCTGGTGTTACTTTTAGTGGCCCTCTACTGATAATAACTAAAGAGCTAACATAAAAATTATGAAAAATGGAAATAGTCGTATGAATAATTTTAACAGATCCTGTAACAGGTACCTCAAAGTATGTATTTTAGTCCACAGATATAAAATTAATTGGGGGCGACAGTTATTTTTTTAAATTTCCTGAATGAGACTACCATGAATCTTTATTTTTGCCAGTTAGATGTTAGCTTACCTAACCTTAAGCCAAACTAAGTCCCGCATATCAACTATAGTATTCTTCCTTAATGGCGGTGATTTTTGTTACCCACTTTTGATAAACTAAGAAAGTACTGATCTTGTTTTCCCTCTTTCCCCACCAATGCTTTTCTTTTCCTTAAATATTCTAGTCCCAGGATTCATTAGCTTTAGTCAAGATGTCACAAGTTTAAAAATAAAACTTAAGTGACCAAAGGCAAAGGAGTTGTTCACTTTGTTGAAATTCATTAAGTTAGAGAAGTCTTACTAACAGATGCATTTAAATGTGGGCTCAACAGATAATTTCTTCCCCTCCCTTTCCCCCAAATTACATTTAGCATTTAAAACTGTTTATAGCTTGCCATCAGCATTATTCTGGTAGGCTTATCAGTGTTAAACTGTTTGTTTAGAGGTTTTTTTAAGCTCTTTAAAGTCTAATTTTAGGATAGATAATTCTGATGTGTACCAGAATGTGTATTTTACAAAATGTTCTTGATTAAAGAGATTTGTTTGTAAATTATCCTTTGTTTTTGAATATGCCCAATAGATGTGATAAAGTTTTCATTGTCTTACCATAAAGCCTTGATGATCAACAAGGGGAACGCAGATACTGTAAAGCTTTTTGCGAATTTTAAAGTGCAAAATAAAGCAACCGTGTCTGAATAAGTAGATTCCTTTCTCTTATTTTAACAGGCTGTTTAAAGTGTTTTGCTAAAATGTAGGCTTCATTACTCTCCACTACAGGATTTCTCCTTAGTGTGGGGTTCACCTGCTCAGTAGCACGATAGAGGAAGTTGGAGATTTGAGAAACTACAGTGGTCCCCCCTCATCTGTGGTTTTGCTTTTCATGGTTTCATTTACCCATAGTCAACTCTGGTATGGAAATATTAAATAGAAAATTCCAGATAAACAATACATAAGTTTTAAATTGTGTGTCATTCTGAGTAGTGATAAAATCATGCGCCATCTTGCTTTGTCCCAGCCAGGATGTGAGTTGTGCCTGTCCACTGGACCCATACCCCACATGCCCCCCACTCCACTGCTCATCTACATCATCTGCTCCTGTGTCCCAGCCGGGATGAGAGTCGTGTCTGTCCAGCAGACCCATACCCCACATGCCCCCCACTCCGCTGCTCATCCACATCATCTGCTCCTGTGTCCCAGCTGGGATGTGAGTCCTGTCTGTCCAGCAGACCCATACCCCACATGCCCCCCACTCCACTGC